TTCGCCTTGCACTTTGCTCAAATTTACCGGGGAAAACTGAAAAACCACCTCAGGTATGATAATGGCCGTCGTCCCCCAGCCACTCCAACTCCAACACTCATCCTCCACCGCCCAAAAGGGGCGGGTGCGTGTGCTTTAATGTCTTGTTGAGGCCTATAAAACACGCTCGTCATCGCATTGCGCAAATGATGTCGACTCGCTGCGATGACGATGGGGATGGGGATGGGGATGGGATGGAAGATGCCGATGCTGAGTACTCCAATTCGAGCAGTACGGGCTGTCGACGCTGAATGAAATCTAATTTGGCTTTTGATGCCTTATTGAAAGGACCCTGTATCCTAAAACTAACAAATCTCAGTTACCGGTAGCTGAAGCTCTTAAAATAGATGCAAAAGCATTTCCAAAGGTCTTAGACCCTTGGCTTGGGGATCCCCCAAAGGGATGCATCTTTGATTATAGTTCAACAGGGAGCTCTTGTGTATTGAATGGGGGAACACTGTCTTCCGTTCAATTAAATATTTGTATAACAACATTTAAAATATATATTAGAATAATTATTTTTAAAAAAAGAAATTTTTATCCCAGGATCTAAGCTGTTAACTAATTATGAACTATCATCATTTGTACGGGTGTTGCCAATGTTTACTTATTTTATACGAAGACATCTTCCATTACATTTCTGACTGAATTCATCTCGCTCAATGCCTCGCTAATATGTTTCAGGATAAATCGATTTCAATTAATAATTTATCACTTCGGTCTTCTCTTTCAGATGATAATTGGAAAAGTCCCGCAGTCCCTCAACTGGTGAGTGAAAATATTAAGTACAGAGCGGGATAAACAGATGGATGCATTCATTTTTACGATCTTTGTCTTGTCTGTAGTTTTTTTCCGACTATTTTCCTGATTTATAATTTTCATTTGTGCAATTTACAAAACGGTGCATAATTATTGCAATTAAAACGCAATAAACGCGGCCAAATAAAACCAAGACAAAACAGACAAGACAAGACAGACAGGCAGCCGAATGGATAGATGGATTGGGCAGCCATTTGGCTTGCACTCGTATAAATTTTATTGAGTACTTCGGAGTTGACTCGGGAGCGAGTGTGGATGGCACAGAGACCCACATTCCGGATTGGGCTGGGCAGGGAGGGATGCGACAGAAGTGACCTATAAACCCGACCGCATCGGAGGATTAAAAAATGATAGCGTGAGAAGGCATTTTGTAATCGTCATCCGAATCACTTTCCCAAAACACTCGTTCCTACCAACCGCTCATCCGTGGAGAAGGGGAAGGGAACCGCAAGTCGAGCCAAACAAGCCGTAAAAAAACGCTATAAAAGTGTATCAAATTAGGGAATGATGTCTGATGCCGATGTGCACCGCAGAAGTGTCGGTAGAATTTATTTTACAACTACGCTGAGCCATGCATCGTTTCACGGTAAACGTCGATACCATGTCGTAGTTTTGAGTCAGAATTTTTTACTCATTTTAAATTAAACTCAATTTTTAAACAAAATTAAAAAGTGTCCCTCTTCGTGTCAAACTATTACGGCGGGACTTTGGGTGAATGGGTAGGTAAACAAAAGTAAACACGAAAGTACATCTCTTTATTCTCCCTATTTTGTAAGTTGCCTTTATTGTTTTACAAGTGTTTCTCATTTCTCATTGCATGGACTGGTTTTTTTTATGCCTATTTTGTTTTAGATACAACCTGTCGCACGGGAGATTACAACGGAGCTGTTTCTTTTATGGTTTGTTCCGCTTTTGTTTAAGGGTCCCGGGGATCCGCACGCAATCCCACCACCAGCTCAACTCAACTCAACGCTACTTGACTCGAGTCGAGTGGAGTCGATTCCACTCATCCCGTCAATTCCATCCCTCGTTCGGTTTGAGGAGCAACTCAAAATAGTGTTTTATTGCTGTAAATTATTCTTTCAGTTATTTATTTCTTATTTGCCGCTGCTCTGCGCTCCCCGCCCTTGCCTTTCAGCCAAGCCACCGTTCACCCAGTTTCAAATTTTTATTAGTTTATTACGATTATTATCGTTTAATGGGGCTCGTTTGCACCGCCGACGCTCACTCGTTATTGTTGTTAAAGTTGTTGTAGTTCTTTCTTGTTGTTGCTGCTGCTGCTTCTGCTGCTGCTGTTGAGCAGAGCAACGTGTGAAGGTGTTTTATTATTTGTTTTGATTATCAAAATGAACATTTTACATTTTTCCGGTCGTTGGGCGGACCACCTGCCCATGGCCCATGGCCCATGGCCTATGTCTGAGGGGCAGTAAATCACTGCCCGCTGTGAGTGCTCCGCGAGTATGTTCGAGTGCACACAGTGGGGCCAGACACTCACTCACTCATTCACACTCGCCTCGCAGTATGACCCATAAACTTAAGACAAAGTGTGGCAAAATGCTTAATTTGGAATTTATGAGCAATTAATTTTAAAATACTCTGTTGTCCGTTAACGCTGTTCCCCCACCCCACCCCACACCAAGCCATAAAAGATTCCGCGAAAATTTGATTATTTAGCCACTCCGCTGATTGATCATTATTCAATTGTTATCGCTCCACACGAACACGGGATTTGGCAATCCGAGCCAGGCCAATTGGGCAACGGCCATAAAACTACTCGAAAGCCAATTACAATGGAATTATTCGGGTAGATCGGATAGTACACATAAATGGCAGCTACTTTAGAAAGAGAGAGTGCTTGTGGATAGGGCAATTTAGCTGAAATAAATATACACACGAAATGTTCATAATTTAAGCATAGATTGTAATACGAATAAGTCTTGGAAATATGTACTTTAACTCACCTATGTACTCACTATGTACCTATTCTAAGCTTAAGTCTTAGAACTAAAAATGATTGTGATACCGAATATGGAAATAAAAGATTGAAATTTTTGCCGATTATATTTTGCTTTTAAAATGAAACAGTATTTATTTATTTATTTTAAATTTATAATCCTTAACTTAGCTTGGATATTTGTACAATAAGACAATGGTAAGCAATTGAATCATGTTATTCAGATAATTGATACATACTATATATATCCGTATTAAATACAACAAATTACATATGTATATGTAGTAAAGAGGAGATTTGTTGGGTAAGTTGATGTTGTAGTCAGACGCGCTTGTTTTACCATTTTTTACCACTCACTCAATCCATCACAAAAAAATAGCCACATCCCAAATTCCATTTATCCTAGAAGAGACCACTTCTGGAGGCCATCCCTGAGGCGGAGTCGGATGACAGGCCAGGCGGCCCAGACAAGTGGCCAAGTTGAGAAATTGCAGATTCGTTTCATTTCCGCATAAACTCGCAGCCCAACGAGGAATCTGCTCTGCAGAGGCAGTGGCAGTGGCAGAGGCATCGTCAGAGGAGTGGAAGAGTCAGGGAGGGAAATGTCTGTGTTGTTGTCCAATTCCAATCGTAAATTTGAAATTTTTCATAAAAATGTCATAACAGCAATTCCACTGACAAGGGCAGAAGGCGGGGAGGGAGAGTGAGTGAGAGTGAGAGAGAGAGCGAGAGAGAAGGCGTCAACGAGAAGAGCAACAAAAGGCAGCGGCCGAAAATAAAGGACAAGAAATGAGAATTTGCAGAGTCGGCGTTTTTCATCTCTCGAATTTATGGATTTTTCGTGATTTCTATCACGGAGAGGAGACAAACTGAGAGAGAGAGGTCCGCTCTTTTTGTGTGCAATAAAAAAGGGAAATACAAATTTGTTGCGACTAAATTTAGGCTAATTTGTACTAGGAAAAATGAACAATAACATTTGCCCAAACAGAGTATAAAACGCTTAAGAAAACACTCACTCAAATCGCACTCAAAGGCCACTCAAAGCAGATAGTTTTGCTCTGCGAATGCGACCACTTTTGTCGGCGCTCGGCGCATTCGCATTCTCACGTTATAAACATCAAAATTAAGCATCCATTCGAGAGCGCACTAAAAGCCAGCGAAATCGTATAAGAAAAGCCCCACAAAACGACTCAAACTGCGAAACCACTCAACAGTCACTCCCACTCGACGCTCTTTCGCTCAGACGGCCATCATGGCAGAGAGAACGCCAGAGAGAGAGAGAGAGGGAGAGAGAGAGAGAGAGCGTACCTACCAGACGACTCTTTGTATTCGCCATGTTAGTGCGAGGGAGCGAGACGACCCGATGTGCCCAGCAGCGCTGCCATCTTTCTTATTGCCGCGGTCGCCGTCAGCGCTGGCAGAAAGCGCTAGTGTGGTGTATGGGTGCATATGCGACACGATATGCGTGTGTTTATGCGCAACGGCAGAGTGCTAGTGCTGTGCTTGAAATGAATTGCTGCTGCTGTTGCTGTTGCTGGCCTGGCGGACGCGACGGACTGTTGTTGTCACTGCCTCAGCATCCAGCGGCCCATAAGAACGCTCGCATGGCTTTTGTATTGCGCCATAAACGTTTCGCTGCTCGTAACGCCACAACGGCCGTCGCGGCACTCTCTCGCCACGGAAAAGCATGTAACAACCAGCAATCATCCAGACCAGACAGACAAACTCTCCAAAAGCGCCCGCGTTTTCCACGTCGCCGACGTCGCCGCCTTCGTCGTAGTCGCGTCTCTGCCGCAGTCTCTGCTTCTGCCTCTGCCTCTGCCTCAGCCTCAGCCTTGGCCACAGCCGCTCTGCCAGCGCCGGCAGCAAGAATTACCAATTACACGAAATTTTTATACTCTTTTAAAAATTTCGTTTTATTATAATATTTATTATCGTGGCGCGCAGTAGTGTCTGCGGAACAGCGCTCGCTCAGCTCTTAGCTCTCAGCTCCAATCGCCAAGGCTCCACGCTCCACGCTCAGCTTCCAGCCTCCACTCGACCGATTCCGATTCCGTTTCCGATTCGCCGTGTTTATTATTATTTTGTGCTCGTCTCTTATTGTCACTTAACTGTTATAGTGCGGTTTATAGTTTATAGTTTTATAGTGGCACGAAACACACACCAACAGAGCGGAGCCCCGACATCAACACATCCCTCTGAAATAAAACAATACGACTACGAGTACGACAACGAGTATAATGCCAAATCAGAAGTCGATCGGGGAAAACTGACACTCCGAAAGCCATCAAGAATTAAACCGTGACCCCAGAAACTGTCAAAACAAGTGTGTGTGCAGTACATAAAAATTAAAAAGTCATAAAGTTGACATCGTAAAAGGTTCGAGAGTTCGATTCCGCCCTCTACCTGTGGGGCCAGAGAGAGAGAGAGAGCAAAGTGTGTTACGGCATTTTAAACAAAGTAATTAAAGCAGAACTGAGCCAGAGAAAGCCTTTCTCCCAGTCCCAGTCTCAGTCCCAGTGCCAGCGACGAGCCACACACGCACTTGAAGAGTCGTAAAAGGAAACGCTGTGAATCATAGCCAATAGCCGTAAAAACATAACGCGTTCGAGTGCCGTCGCCGTCATTAAAAGTCCCGCGCCTATAAATCACCCGACGGCAGGCCAGCACCAGCACCAGCACCGGCCCCAGCACCAGCTCCCCAACCGTGCATTATTTTCCGCGTAATTGATGGCCGCTTTTTAATTGCTTTTACAACAAATAAATGTCCCCACCCACACACACCACAGTACCAGAACCACATCAACAGCAACAGCAGCAACTGCAGCAACACGGAAACCTGAAACCATATGCAAATTTAACAAATTTCGTTGTGAATCCTCGATTTCGGTCGAAAAGCATTGAACAAATACAAACTGCTCGCCAATTGGAAGGCGCTTTCCAATAAATCACAAGCCACTTTGATAGAGAGCCCCAGTCGAGCTCTGAAAGGTAACGAAATGCATTCTCACCTTCTTCCCTCCATCTGCAAGACCAGAAAGTAGATCAAACTCGGGGAACTGGCAAAGTTCCTTCTCTATACCAACACCTCTCTCTCTCTCTCTATCTATCCCCGTACCGCTAAAAGTCTACTAACTCCTTTGCCAACCCACTTACTATATTTATATACTCGTAGTGTACTAATCCAGGAGATGGCACTCCGCTCTCAGCCCCCAGTAGTTCTACTAACCCTTTGGCATTGTGCAGGGAACATTTGTTGAACGCAAAGCAAAAAGAAATGCGATTTAAAGCAGCAAAGTGAACAAATATTTCCACTCGAATCTTTCGGTGGCAGTCGGAGAGATTTATGTCCCATCTGAACATATTCAATTTGGCTAATGTTCTTTTTATGTTTTCCGAACAATCTCTTCTGATACAGTATATAATATATATATATATATATATATATATTCATCTCCGAACGTTCCTAAGTTGTCAGCTGTCTTCGTATTTTGGCTGTATTCGGTTTTTGTTTATCACGATTTTTAGTGGATCTCAAGTTTATTTTCTCTTCTTTATGGCATTTTTAGTGCTCTTTAAGTTGATCAATTTGGTGCCTGATTTATACATCCAATAGAGTGATTTCCTTTGCATTATAATGCCATAAAATTGATATGAGAGAATAAGCATCCGACAACTTAATAATCAAATAGGAAAAGTATTCCCATTTTGCTGCTTAAATCGAGCGAACTTCCAAGCTGAATTCGAACCAAATTTGTTAAAGAGAACTCGCAGAACACAAACACTCAACCTAGTCACTCCCCGATCGATTCAGAATCTTTGCTCGAACCACTCGCAAGACTCAAGCTAGATAAACAAAAAACAAAAACGAAAAATAAGACGGCGAAGACGGAACACTCGCAAGAACAAAAAATATACCCAGAAGTAATCGATCCTAGCCTCAAAGACTCAAAATAAAAGAAACGAAAAGAAAATAAAACATCCAGAACAGACTCGACTCCGACGCATTCGACGACTCGGCGATTCTCTGCCGGAGAGCAAGATATGTGCAATGTCAAAATTTGTTTTCGATAGTATGCTGCCAAAGTACCCACAGTTCCAGCCATTTATCAGTTCGCACCTAACCAACACACCTCCAACCTCGTCATCAGCAGCCGTCGCAGCCGCCCTCGCAGCAGCCGCAGCCTCCGTCTCAGCCAGCTCCAACACCTCGGCGACCGCCAGCAGCAGCACCAACAGCGGCAGCAGCCACCTCAGCCTGCAGACCGGCTCGCTCTCGCCAGGATCCAGCGCCCTGCACCTGGGCAACCAACTGCATCAGCAGCACCTCAGCCAGTCCTCCCACTCGCCGGTGTCGTCCTCGTCGCCCTCCTCCGCGGCGCTCTTCCAGCAGCAGGCCCAGCAGCAGCACCACCAACAGCAACAGCTCCACCAGCAGTCGCAGTCGCAGTACTCCTCGCTCTCCGCCGCCCTCCAGCTGCAGCAGCAGCAGCACATCAACAAGCTAGCCGCCGCCGCGGCCGCCGTCAACTCTCAGGGCTCCCACGCCCACGCCCACTCGCACGCCCACGCGCATCAGCAACTGCTGCTGACCCCACCCTCGGCCGGCAATTCGCAGACCGGGGACAGCAGCTGCTCCCCCTCGCCATCGGCCAGCTCCTCGCTGCACCGCAGCCTCAACGACAACTCTCCCGGATCCGCGGCCAGCTCCGTAGCAGCCGCAGCAGCTGCTGCCGCCGCCGCAGCCGCGGCCAGCTCCTCGTTTGCCATACCCACAAGCAAGATGTATCCGTACGTGTCAAACCACCCCAGCAGCCACGGAGGCCTCTCCGGCATGGCCGGCTTCTCCGGCCTGGAGGACAAATCCTGCGGGTGAGTCCATGATCTCTCTTTATATTCTGCTCGTTTATATTGCCCGAACTGATCTGAAATTTCCATTCCCACTCCTCTATATCTAATCCATTCATCCCCCACTCTGGATCCAATAGATATGGATTCCGTTTCTAGTTACTTTCCGTGTCAGAGATATCCAGCGAAGAAATCTGTTTCCTCTTCTAATTCCGATCTCAATTACTTTCTACTTTCCATGGAGAATCTTCCCAAGAACTCACTTTTCATACCTTCCTGGCCAATACTCGTAAACTCGAATACGCATGTCCCGAGTGCCAAGCGGAAATGCCCAGAGAAACCATCGGGGAAACCTGCACAGACCGCAACCACAAATCCATTTCGAATGTGCTCTAATTATCGGCTCGGCCCTCCGATCCATCGGCCCTCGGGTGCGGGTGCGGGTGCGGGTGCTGGTGCTGGTGCCCATTGAGAATTCACATCGAATGGCCGTAAAGAGCGACCGGAATGGGACAATTAGAGCGCGCTGCGGTGGCTGCTGGTGGCCATTTGTCGCCCGGCCACGAGATTCGCACGCACGTTGACCTTCCGCTGCGGCCATTTGCATATCATATTGGTCCGTGCCGTCACAATGTGTTCCCGCTGGGTGGGCGTGTGGGGGCGATTAGTGCGCAATTAGAGGAAACCGCAGTCGGAGTGAGATGCGAATGGAATGGTCCCAGTTAGGGCTGGTCAGGGTTGGTCAGGGACCGCCACGGCAGCTCAATTTGCATTTGACTTCGGCCTCTTACGCCGGAAGCATACAAGAAAACAAACACGATCTTATGCTAATCGCCTTCCCCTCTCTCTCTCCCTCTGTATTCCTTCTCCTGCAGCAGGTACACGGACACCATGATGAACAGCTACCCGTCGATGAACGTACCTGCCTCGGCGTCCGCCAGCTTCGCACAGTTCTATCAGCACGCAGCCGCTGCCTCGGCAGTGTCAGCCGCCAACGCTGGGGCCATGGGCGTGGACCCTCTGGGCAACGCCTGCACTCAGCCCTCCTCGGGCGTGGTGCCCGGGGCCGGCGGTGGTGGGGGCGGCATTGGTGACCTGCCGCGGTATCCCTGGATGACGCTCACAGGTGAGTCCCAGTCGAATGATCGATTCCCTTTATCCCGGCATTGTGTACACTACTAGATCTGCATAAATCAAAGCCTCTCAGGCACGGGCTGGGAATTCACACCTCGATGGGCGATGGGCGATGGCCGGTGGCCCATATAAACATTAGATAAACGTGGCGCAAACGTTTTCCCATTTCAATTTCAATTCCATTCCGATTCCGAACCCAATTCCAAATCGAATCCAATTCCGAAGCATAATGAACACTTTGCGGGGCACTTCCAAGTCGTTTATTTCGCATAAGTCTTCCAGCCGAGAGCGCTGCTCCCCGTGCGATTCAAATTCGAAACGAAATGTTTCTCCCTCAACGGGTGGGGGGAGGGAGGGAGGGACTGATGGTCCAAGACGGGAACAAAGAGCTCAAAAGTTGGCAGTAAATAAAAATGAAAATAGTTTGAAATGTGCCCCTCTTCGCTGGTGTGTGGTGCGGCGCGTCGATTTATAATTTAAATAGCCTCAAGGTTGCCACACACACACACACACAGCCACATGCAAGCAAACATTCAGCTGTGCCCACACGCATACAAACTAGTCTCGGATACGCGGCCAGAGATACAGATACAGATACAGATACAGATACGATTCGGCGATCTCTTTTTATGCGGCAAACGTAGTACGAGCGATCCGCTCGGAATTTATGTGGGTCACTTTAATTTACGCGATCCGATCCAATCCGATCCGCTCAATTTCGCTCGCCTTTCTGCGGACTTGTTTATCATTTCCCTGCACTGCACTCAATTTCCACGATGGCAAAGAAGGAGGAATGGAACGACTTCAGTTTTCCCCAAGCGCCAGGCCTCGGGTTGAATGCCTTCTGAGTTACGGCGGACAGCGTATGAATAGGACTGTCAATTGGCCTGAGTTATGAACTGCACATCAGTCGCCAAAATAGAGAAAACATCGGGCGATCCATTTGCCCGGGAATGGCTGGGACTCGGCCTGGATTTATGGCAAATGCATGTGAATTAAAAGCATGAATAATTGCGGCTGTATACGAGTTTTGAGGCATATTCAAATGATGTACAAAATACGGTAGAGGCGAAACAAATTTGGGAGCACAGCGGGCACAGTTTATTCGCTCTGTTAGTGGCAGATCGGCGACTAAATCCATTTGAGATAAGCTCTGAGAGATGAAACCCACACCAGGGTTAATAATTTATTAATAGTTTCACTCAAGCAGATTCGCAATAAATTGATTTTCGATTGCAGAACGGGGCATCCAGTGGAGTGTTGAATTGATATCGCGAATGCTTTCGACACGCCCTTTTATATAATCGGTTAATAGAACCATTTGCAAGCCAAACCTGTTGTGCCCAGTCGAGGCCGAGTGGAGCCAAGCCAGCGAAAAAAAAACCCGCCGCATCGGCACCGGCATCGGCATTGGCATCGCTCGGGCCCAAAGATAAACGAACGGTATTCCGCACAATGAGATATTTTGCATATCTCCCGCTCACAGCACAAAGACGATAAAATTGTCAACGAGATCATAGACGACGCGACGACTGCGACGACTGGCTGCGATGAAAGTAAATACGAGCATGACGCCATTATGGCAGCCAAGTGCGCGACACGTCGACGCAGCCCCCCCACCCTGCACCACCCACCCTGCACCACTGAACTCTGTTCACTGTTCACTGTGCACTCTCGTAGATACATAGATACACATGCATTTATCCATGCAGTTGCATGCGAATCGCGGGACTTGATGGAGTCGCGCAAGAATCGTCCCTGTCCCTCCGCTTCCTCCGCTGCCTCCAGCAAACTCTTTACCCCACGTCTGGCGTTGGCTTTCACTTTGCCTGCAGTGGCAGCCAAGCCTCCAAACCCACCCAGAGACCACATCCAAGACCAAGACCAAGACCCGGACGTAATGGCAACGGCAACAGCAACAACGGCAACGTTTTACAGCTGAATGCTTGCCAAATGCAATTTAACTAATGAATTTTAATATTTTACGCCAAAGCGTCTGAATGAATTTTCATTTTCACATCGTTGCACCGACCCAACCGACTCGGGCAACAGCGTCAACAATGTTGCAACTTGCAGCGGATCGTCTGCTGCGGCAGAGGCGTGGCATGTGGCATGTGGATGGGGTGGGGAATGGGTGGCGGAGGGGTGGGGCGGCGTGCCTGTACCTGATTATGCTGATAAGAAAGCAAAGAGGTTAACTTTTCTTAATTATCTGGAAAAGCGCAGCCCGTCCGGCAGGCGGATGGAGAGAGGTTTTCCCATCTATTGCGCTGAAAATTTGCAAGCTCTGCACGCGCTGCATGGCAGGGCGGGGGAGGGGAGGGGAAGGAAAGAAGAACAAATCGGTTATGAGAACAATATGGAAAACGAAGGAAATTATGCAAGGGACTCTAAGAATGCATTTCCCAGCACATGCTCCCAGCTGAAATATTTTAATCAAATTTAATGGTCAATAGTCAGTGGAGGTACATTGAGTTATTTCGAGTTTCATGGCAAAACATCTCTTCAGCAGATTCCAAAACGTTTTTCCCCAGTGCAGACTTGTTGTCTCAGTGAGCACAGAATGCCCTGCCTTGCCAATGTCTGGAGATAAGAGCTGCTGGCCATAAATTGGGCAATCATCAATGCGACAAAGAAGACGGTCCAAAGACTCGCTCCAGCCCTGGCCGTACATATTAGAGATTGTTCTGTTCCTCCGTCCGTCCCTCCCTCCGTCCGTGTGTCAAATAAAGTGGCAGCAACGACCGGGCGAATGCAAAGAAATTTGTGTATTTTAATTAAAAATGCGCCAGTGCTGGCAAGCAGCTTCATCTGCTTATTAATTAGGCGTCGCTTCGGCGGAGGAGTCGTCGACTCTGGCGCTGCCGTCGACGTGGTCTACTTTGGCAGGGGCCGCTGCCGATGCCGATCCGGTCGGACTGGCCAGAGGCCACCACTCTGCTGGTGGTCCACTCATTGCAGGGGCCCAGCCAATTCTGCTTTTTGTCGATGGCGCTGACAACTAAATTGAAAGCGGCCCGATTGAGTGGTTTATGGAGGCTGGGCTGCCCCATTGGCAGAACAGAAGAGGATGGGCTGCCGGACAGCCGGTCAGCCGGGCAGGGCGTTGAACATGATTTGAGAGATCGACAGTGCCCCGTCTGTTGCCCGGCGGCCCAGCATGATCGCCTCAAGGTTGTAGCAATCGATTTACGGGCGTGGAATTTTACATTGGCAGCATATGAATCCTTTGCGTGGACGAAGAAAAAACCAACAGCCAAAAGTTAACCATTAACCATTATTTTACTCTCTTCTCTTGCAGACTGGATGGGAAGTCCCTTCGAGCGCGTCGTTTGCGGCGATTTCAATGGTAAGTACCGCAATTACCGGAAACCCTTGAAGTTAATTCCCCGACTGGCATTGACCCGTCCTGTCCGCAGCATGCGGACGCTAATGGGTTATCCGACTAACCAAGCGAGGAATATGAAGAGAATTTTCATTTTTTAATGCCGGAATGTCCTTGAACAGCGCCCGACCAGCACCTACCTACCGCCCTCCCTCCGACTTTCACTCGCCGAACCCTTCACCCTGCACCCTGCACCCTGCACCACTGCATCCGGCAATCTGTTCCCCGCTCTCCTCATTCGTCACTCGCTCCTGCTGACTTGACTCGGCGACTTTCACCGCTCTGCTCTGCCATGCTCTCCTGGCCTGCCTGTCATAAATCCTTGCCTTTGTCCCGCCTCAGCCATTGTGCATTCATTGTGCTTTGTTTTGTTCTGTTCTGTTTTGTTTGCTGAAGTCATTTTCCTGCGAATGTCCCCGAATGTCCAAAGGAAGGAGCAACTGGCAGCCGGCAACTGCCAGCGCTCGCTCTCCATGCTAATCGGTTGGTCTGGTCTGGTCTGGTCTGTGAAAGTGCCAGCGGAGACCGACCTGCCCGACTGCCCGACTGCCCGACTCGGCCATGCCAAACAAGTAGCAAGACGATACCGTAAATCACATTGATGGACGATCGATCGAATGGATCTGTGTTGAGGCAGAGGCCCCCCAAAATCTCGGCTCTGCTACTGTGTGTGATGGCAATAACAATTACGGAACTGGGCTCGGACAAAACTCACTCAGTTCCACTCAACTGATCGATTCGCCCGATCGTAGCGGGTCCTATCGCCGATCAGCGATGCGCCTGTTGCTCTGCCCGTCGTTAAATGGCTTTTTATGATCATTTTATGAACTATTTACGATTTTACGCATGGTCTTGCGCCGTGCATAACGATCATCGCGATGTTGTTGTTAGTGTGGGATGGGATGGTGACTACGACTACCGCAACGAGAACCGCACCGCAACAGCCGCTCCGATCCGATCCCCGTTTAATGGGCCCGATCTGAGATAATGGCGCTGATTATGCTGCCGCAGTTCTGGGCGATTGTTTAGCGAATCGGTGGCCATATGCTCGGGGTCTGTGCAGCTCGTTACAATTAGTTCAACGACATTGCCGTACAAGTACAATAAATGTGTGGACAGGCACACAATCAGAGCCAGAGCTGGAGGCAGCGACTGGCGATGGTGGGGTACAATTACAACGGGCAGTCACCAAACGGCATTCACATTCCCATAACACTCCGCTGTAATTGATCGACTGAATGGCTGCACATTTAATTGAATGACAATTCGAATTTCCAGATTGTAGTCGAGAGGTTCGTAACTCAGGGCGTAGTTAATACTTTGTTGATACGCGATTATCCATCCAAATCAATTACTGTAATGCAAATTTTAATTGATTCCAGTCGGTGGCAGCCCCAGTGCAAATTACCATTCGAATAATCGAATACCACTTCTGATCAATAATCGGTAGTAGAGTGTACCCATTGTAGCCATTGTTGCCAAGTTATTCATTCAATAATTGTCTAATTGTTACACCTATTGATACATAGTAAATGGTGTGATCGAGCGCTTAAAATGATTTGATTTGATTTGCTGTCCCAAAATGATTGCTTTCGCATGAATGTATTTCGTTCCTTTCTTGGCTACTGTGGCATGTAATTGCGAACCGTTTAATTGCGCTCGACCACTGGGCAAACAGTATTCCACGGAGTCTGGCCGGCCTGAGCCAGGGCTGAAATCGGAGTGGGAAATCGCAGCGATTCTGGTGGTGGGGCTGGAACGTGCCGTGGCTCTGCTTTCGACGTCACAGATCGCTTGATATTCGAGTGGGTTCGGACCCCAGATCCCTCCCCTCCCCACCCCACCCCACCCTCACCGATTGCTGGTGATCCTCTGGTGTTTGCTTTGTAAATAAATCTCTGGCGTTGGCGTTGGCGTTGAACGGAGTCATTCGGCCAATTTACAGCACTAACAGCCGCTGTTTGACAAGTAATTAACTCCCCGAGTTGCCATTCTGCACAGATTGTGGTTTTTGCTGCTGGGTTTCTTGGGTCTTGGGTTACGTTAAAATATTTCTTGTGCTGGGGCATCTCCATGGGGGATTTTTTCTGTAGTGCAAGGAAAATAAGCAAATTATTTAGGTTGGCAAAAGTCTCGGAAATTATGATTCATACTCGCATTTGAATACGAGTACCACAGAGAAAGAGAGGGAGAGAGGCTACGTAGATGTAGATGTACGATGCGAGTACAAATGAATCATTCAATGATCACTCAAATCGAATCTATATTATTAATGCAAATTACGAAGAAAACAAAAATAATATTGTTTGCTTGAGTGCAAGATAAGAGATTGGAATCTCGAGAGAGTGTCCGTCTCCAAATCGAAATCTATATGGAATAGGGAACATCATTTCACCGGCATCTCCATTCGCATTCGGTCCGCAGCGAGCGCACGGCACAGATCAAAATCAGAAAAATGAATTATTTTTATTAATTTTACATGCCATAATTATAGCCCATGATAAGCGCGCTTGGATTCCGATTCGAATTGAAAACTCGTGAAATGCTTCAGGAATCATAGTGGGGTTGGGGGTGGGGTGTCGCTGTTCAGTCTCATCTGCGATGTCGTCTCAGGCGGCGAATATCAATTATTCGGAATTCAATCATGATCGGGATCTGTCTGTGCCCGACGGAATCTCAATGCCAGTGGCGAGGCGAGGCGTCTCCGCCATCTCATCTCCGCCCGGCCAGATAAACGCCGCTGCAGGCCGCGACCCTGTCCGACCCGCCAGCCACTTAACGGCACTGTCTGTAGCGCTATCTCCCTTGCATGTAAATACGAGTATGTACATACATACATATCTGTGGTGTGGCTGTATCTGTTGGTGTGGCTGTGGACGTGGATGCGATTCGGACTGTGAGTGGGCCTGGACATGGACAGGCTGCAAGGGTTAATTTATGAGGCGCGATAAGCGAATTCCATTTCGTTTCGTTTCGGGTTTTGTTTAATTTCCGATTCTCTGTGTTTTCCTTCCCTCCGTTTCTGTTTCTGTTCGGTTATCGTTTTTTTTTTCTTCTTTATTTTTTTTGTTGTTGTTGTATTTACATTTGGCGCGCTCTCTCCCACTCTCCCCCTGGGGGGAGGGTGGGCTGGAGAGGGGCATGTGCGACACCGTGTTATCGGCACGTTTCGTGTCGTTGTTTTTTTTTCATTTGCGGCGGCGGAAAATTCGAAATGACACGTTTCTGCGAGTGCGAGTGCGAGCGGAGCTCCCTGCCCTTTTTTAACTGCCCGTGCGGCTGTTAATCTGCGGTTTTAATGCCCAAGTGGCGCAAATTGGCGAAAGGGTTTGAATTACACATCACAGCCAGAAAGAGAGAACTGTTGAGAGAGAGAGAGAGAGAGAGGGAGAGTGAGTGGCACAGACATGAACAAAATGGCAGCCAGACTGGCGCGTTCCATGCCTGGTCCTGCAGACATGTAAATTTGCGCAGACAAAATCAAATTAAAAGCGCACACGTTCCACAGACAATTGAAGCTCCCCTCAATCCCCTATACCATACCCCATTCCCCCACCCTATCATATTCATTTAAAGTTTATTCCCCTCTTATAAATACATATGTACATACAAACAGGCATGTGTATGTGTATGTATATGTAAGAGGTAATCCTCAAAGTTTGTTAATTTTCATTAATTTAAATATTTCATTTAACGAATTGAGATTTCGTTTAGAACTGGGCCTTAAGTCCGCATTTGTCGTGCGGCGTGCGACATTTGCCATTTTCCACTTTTCCCCCTCCCGTTTTCCGCTTTTCGCTTTCCGTTTCGCGTGCCCTGCCCTGCCCTGCGTGTTACCTTCCTTCCGTTTGGAAGTCTCTCTTGAGGTTGAAATTAATTTGAAGAGGGCGCGCAGTTAATATTAATTTAATCGCGGAATTATACAAGTCGCTCTCGGTGTCGGCTAATGCACTCTTTGTGCTGCTCTCCTCCACAAATAATGTATCATTTCTCCTGATTAATTGCCGAGATTATGCTGTTTACGATGCACTTTGTTCCCCTCCATGCGCCGTAACCGTTTCGCAGTGTGGGTGGTTACGAGGCACTTGGAGCAGTTGCAGTTGCACTCGCAGTGACCGGAGCATACCGCTTTAAATGGCGTTAGATTCAGGTTCGCTTCTCTGATGAGATAATCACGAGTAGTCACGAGACAAAAATAAGTAGAAACTTAATTCAGAAAAGTGCTTCGATTTAGTTTGCGACTTCTCGCCGACTCTCGCCGATATAATTCCCTTTAATTTAGGGGTAGAATATCTCTGATCTCGGATTTCGTTGTTCCAACATTCCACTGTCCAATTATGAAGTTTGAAGAATCTTTTCGTCGATTCCAATCATGTCTATTGTATTTCGGAATCCTCCCCTGGATGAACTCGTTATTCCAGTCCTCGCCATTGTGAGAATCCTTCTCCCTGCTCCTCCATCCGCAGCGCAGCGCCTAATGAAGCCATTCAGGTAATTTCTGAGCCCTTTGGATGGAGAGCTTCGTAGTTTTGTAACGGCCAAGCTTGAAAGGGCTCAACAATGCGGAGGAATAAAACCTGTCGGTGACAAAGGGCTGCTGGGATCATGGAAGGGCTCATGGAGAGCTCCGTCGCATCAGCCACCATTTTCTCGAATTACTCGAATCTTATGCAGCCATTAACAAAAGACCAACTCAGCCTTGTGTGTGTGTGTGTGTGTGTGGAGCCATTAATCAACTTTGTCAGCCAACGAAAATGCCGCAGGAAATGGAAAAAAAACGAGAGACGTTCGTTGTGGTCTGTGGTCCCTCTACGACTCTGACTTTTACTTAAAGCGGGACTGGGACTGGGACTGGGAATGGGACTGGGACAGACAACAATCAATTTCTCAGGAGCCCACAGGACCACACCTCATCACAGAGGGGGGACTGGGACTGTAGGCCAGATCGGTTTAGGTGGAGAGGG